CTACCTTAAAAATGCGCTGTCTTACGTAGGACACAGCACAGAAATAAGATTCATTTGCACTTAAAAGACTGAAAACATTAAAATCTGGTTCAGTATTAAAAATTTTAATCTACCTGATCTTTAACAGGTTTCATAAACCATCCTGGCGATAAAAAGGAAAACTGACAAAACAACTGAAAAGAAAAAGGCTGCTTCCTACACCATGATTTCAATGGTACTACTCTAAATGCTCTCCTTACGAGATCTCAGTTTCTACTTCCCATACTACCTATAGGGTCATCACCATTAATGTCACCTTGTTTTTATGGGCACACAAATACCCAGTAAAACATACCTTGTGTTTCACCGCTCTGACAGCCCAAGGAGCCGAAGTATCAGTGTGAGACAAATAAAGCCAGGGCTCAGTTGAAAATTAACACAAATGCACAACATCAAAGATTAGGGACGCAACACTGAAGACACGCAATTAAGCATAAAGAAATGCAAAATGTAAACACTAAAAGTAATATATATATTTACAATAGATGCATATTTCTCCATATTTTTCTGTAATAAAAAACAGCGCAGGAAAGAAAACCTAATAAAAGTGCTTGTTCCAGTAATGGAGGAGTATGATGATTAGAACAGAAACCTTCACAGAACTATCAGGCAACCAAATTCACACTGGATTAAGGGGTACCATCTGACTTCCTTAATTGAAAATAGCTTTACTACACTTACCCAAGATAACGCCTACATTCAGCTACCAGAAAAAAGAATTCACTTCATACTGCTTTCCAGGGGAAGAAAGGGATTAGAAAGCCTTAAATCCAGCATCCAAATTAAATGGAAAAATTATCCATTTAATCTGAAATGATAGTGTAGAGCAACAGCACATGGACCTGTCAGGCTTATACACTTGGTCTGCTACATGTCTAGTTTTTATTTTTTACATAAAGAGTATTTTATGCCATTATATTTCCTATTAAAAATCAATACACATTAAGCAACTCAAGCACTAACAGCTCTGTTTCCCCACCAGCCCAACATTTTCTGTATTTAAAAAGTCTTATATATATTAAAGTCTAATAGAGAGAAATTACATTCAGCAGGAACATTCAGAAGTTATTCTTGTCCTGTCTTCTAAGCTGTCACAAGGAACAGTTTTCCAGTAACTTACAAACCTACTCAGTTTCTACCACTTTGTTTATTCTAGCTTTGTAAATAATTCAGCCTACCATTAGCATAAAGCTTTTTTTTAAGAAAAAAAAGTTGTATTTTGCTATATTCAAGCAAACAATGCAATTGTTACATTTGCTACTTATTTATAATTACCTCCACAGGAGGTATATAAAAGATGAAGTAGTCACTAAAAGCGAGGTCACCATTCTTGCCAAATAACCACCTGTGATGAAACCAGATGGAGTTCAACACATCACAATAACAGGTCATCTTCTACAAACAAAGCTCAAGGTTCCATAATTCATTAAACAGTTGAAGTGTATTTTAGCAAGTACAACAAACATTTGGATTTTTTTCCCCCAGTTCCCTAAAACCATTCCATCAACACACACACACAAAAAAAAGGCTGTTTTTCCTTTGTTACCTGCTAGAGTAACTTCACATTATCTTTGGCCATCATTGAACTAAATACTTATTTAAATTGTTTCCATAATCACAGAATGGTTTGGGTTGGAAGACACCTTCAAAATCATCTAATTCCACCCCCCCCCGCCATGAGAACAAGGTATTTTTTAATAGAATTACAAACAGAAACTGTTGTTTTATTTTTCTTTTGCCTTAAAAAAAAAAAAAAGGGGCAACTTCACAAGATGGTAAGAACAAAGCAACCCAATAATCTCAATCAATCCACTCTTATACAAACCAAAGAGTTAATCCCCCAGCACTTTTCAAGAAAACTGTATTCCACCTAATTATACAGAAGAGATGAAAAGAAATTCAGTCAACTACAGGAAGAAAGTTTCAAGTTAAATTGAAACTCGGTTGAGACAACCACCAAGCTTCTACTGACTACTTGATGCCAAAAGACTCTTTCGGACACATCGCCACAGACAGAGCCCTTGAAATGAAATCCTGAGTTTTGAGTGAGTCCAACAAGCTGATTCCAGATTTACATTTTCAACTGCATAACAGTAAAAACAAGAAAAGGACAAATGCCTACAAATTTCACTAGGATTCTTTCTATCTACTGATTCTATATTCCTGTTCTTATAAAACCTGTTTATTTCAAGCCAACAGCTGTACCAGTACCACTAAAACACACTCAGCCTGACAGCTCTATTAAGCTGAAGGAACAATTTATACAGGTTAAATATAAACAAAATTCAAGTGTTGCGTCTCAACGTTACAAAGGCATTGATTAAGTCAAACTACTAAATCAACCTGTGTGTGCTTAAGACTCTTTAGATAAGAGTAACCTTGAGCCATGGTTTTCAGATATTTCATGAATAATCTTGACTAGTTTTCCCATGGTATCCCTATGCAGAAAAACTTGATTATACCACCTTGAATTGCATAATAAACCTTAACATATATTGTTTATTCCCCAGGAATTTGGTCTTTTATCTGCTCCAGGATCAATGCTATTAAAGAGCCTTTTAATTAGGAAAGAACTGTTGGCAAAACTGTCAAGGTAAACAAAGTTTCAAGTAATAGGCCAAATAAGACAAAAAAAGCATCTGGGATACTTTGGAAAATTAAACTCATTTGAATACATAATACAGCTAAGTACTGGGTCAAATATCTAGGACAAGTAAAATCATCACAATCCACCTTAGAAAGTGATCCTGAAAAGAGCCAGAGGAGGTACAGAAAAAATCAGCTGAGCCACACTTCTAACAGGGTATCACAGCAAACAATCCTTTTGGGTTTTAAAAATACTTGGTATGATTAAAGGGAAGCAATGTTTATAGTCAGCAGGGATCTTACCATGAAAATACTATACGCAAGGATGGGGTCCACTTTTTCAAACTCAAAGAGGGATCACACAACTACTCTTAGAATTTTAACAGTTTAAAAACATGTTTTATCAAAATAGATCTGGGTTCAAGTCTGTTAATACTATCAGTTTCTAAGAATCCATACAGAGAAGTACGGCCGCTAGTAAAGAACTACTCTAGGAGACACCTATAGAAGACCAGATAGTTACAGCTTCAGCTGAACTCAGAGCAGGTGTTGTTAGTACATCAAACCACAGCAGCAACTGGTAAAACGTGTCTTTCCCACTTCAAGACAAAATTATAGTAGGCAAACAGAGATGTATCAAACACTGTAAGAAATACCTCTGCAACCAAAATGTGTCCACCTAGTGCTGCAACTCTCAGGAAATTTTACAGCTTGTGTTACACAGGTGATCAGAGTATGGTAACCAGTATCCAATATCAAAACACATTAAGTTTATCTGCATTGTAAGAAACCACTGTGAAACTACAATAGATCCAGTGCAGTAAGAGAACTTTATGTTTTAAAGGCAAATCAGAAAATTAACCTAACATGACAAGGGATTTAACAGCTCTGGAGAGCAGATCATTCAAAAGGCTCTAACTTACTGAATTAACCAAGTCAAATTTAAGATGCTTCCAACCTACGCCAGCCAGTAAGTCAGAGATCAGATTTATCTTACTGTCAGAATCTTAGTAAGTAAATTCTGCCTGCAGGTAGTCTTAATCTTTGCTTAAGTGCCACTAACACATCTCTCAGTTAAAAGGGAACAAGAGAACAATCAGTAGTAAGAGAAGGTCTGAAGTTGCAAGCACGCACATGTATTTCAAATGTGCTTAGAAAAACCCACAAAAGTCTACATAATGAAAAATGCATATGCATACACATTCAGCCAACTACTCTCGAATGCGAAAATAAGTGTTAACGTCCATCTTCAAGAAGCACTGAAAACAGTAAGCTAAATACTAGAAGCTCCACTGATTTTCTGCCACAGATGCATTTTTAGAGAATTCCAGAACCTGACCATTTTCCCCTATGCTGGTGGCACACCTTTAAGCATACTTGATTCATAAATAAGGCTGAGTCTACATAAATTGGTCACCTATCAAACAACAGTAGCTAATGCCACTGAAACTTTTCCATAACATTTCCAGTTTAGTAGAGGACAATGCACAAGAAGTAAGTCCCTGGAAACAAAACAGCTTCATGATAGAATGGAGAACATGCAGGGGGAGGGGAACTGTGCTTTTAGTTCAGCTGCACAGCTTCTGAAGAGACTAAATCTAAACTAAACAAAACTCAGCTGTGAACTCAGCAGTAAATTACTGTCACAATTTTTCCAAAAGGAGACCTGAAAATGATCAAGGATGGTTAATTACACACACTACTTTACCCAAGAACCAAAACAGCTCCAGCATTTAGAAAGCAGAAATCCAAGACTGAGAAGTATGGTACATACAAGATATAATGCAAGCCTCTGTCACCATACTTTTTCCAACTCCAGTTCTTCCCAAAAGTCTAATAGACAAATAATGTTTTTACCAAAAAAAAAAAAAAAAAGTTGGTAAGTAAAACACAAAATCCAAGAACTTTTGCAGTCACCAACATATCATGCAGAGATTTAAGACATGGAAAGTCGTATATCACATAAAGTAAAAAAAAACCCTAGGTTTTCAAACACGTTTATGGTAACCAACAGTCATTTTGTAACACGTGCCAGTGAGCAGTCTAACTACATTAAAAATATTCCTTTACTTAACTCCTTCCCCTAAATCTATGGAATACTCTTACGCAGGGAGTATTGGCTGATGAAATTATATGCATATTTAAATGACCCTAAGCCACTACCAACATCATCTCACTTTTACCCTGCTCCTGACTTTACAGTACTTGAGGCTAAACTTCTGAAGAGCTTTTGGTTAGCTTAAGGATAATGTGTCTTCCTCAATATTAGGCTTTACGGTCATATTTAAGAGTGTATCAGTCAAACAATCCATCCCATAAGTAACATAATCCACTCCACAGTAGCTAAACATATAATGATGTATTTTTTCCATTACCTGTCTCTGAAATATAAACAACAGGATTCTGCTTTAGAACTTTATCAGGTTTTGAAGTAGCTGCTTTTTTCTCAGATTCCTTCTTGGATTTTTTCACTGACTGCACCTCCTCTTCTGAATCTGTATTTTGAACACAACATAAATTTAGATTTCTGCTACATACATACAAGCTTTAAGTAACAGATCACATAGCATCAGTTAACACATGTTCACATATAATCAATTGAACAAGAAAAAGATATCATATGGAAGGTCAGAGCACAGCTTTACTCTTCTCCATCAGCTAATAGCCTAGCCACCATTCAGTCCAGCACACAGATGACTAAATGAAAATTTGGTCAGAACTCAGTCTAGAAACTGGGTTTTGTTTACATAAGAAGAAATGTTTAGTTACTTATTCCAAGAATTGCTATGCTCATATAAAAACCTTTCTGAAAAGGAATGTGACTCTTAGAGTACCACAGCAGATTACTAAACAAGAAATACACACTCAGTAAGTAAAAAAAAACAACAATCCACCCCACCCAAAACCCACCCAATCCAAACAACATACACACCACAACAAACTTTCAACTTAGATTCACAAGACTGATTAAATGTTTATAGTATCATATATTATGCTGGTGTACACTACGGGACCTATTCCAAAAGACAACAAGCTAACAACAGGGTAAAAAGACACCACTAAGGTTGTACTCCGATTCAGCAGAATACTGGTAGACTTGCCACTCACCTCACCAACCATTCTCTATATCCCACAAGTTGTTAAGATGACAAACTTACAGCACTGTGGATTATATATCCCAGCAGCCAAATGAGTAAACAGGACAAACTGAAGAAGTCGGGACAATTAACAAGCATAAGAGAGGGCTACTCTTCAAGGCCTACCTTTATCCATGATAAACACTACATATTAATAATTATAATATCTATTAAAGGCAGCTATGGTCAATTGACTTGAGTCGATTGAGTCCCATCTCATCGTCTCACATCCATCTCCCCAAAAAGCACACATGCCTCTCTCTCGTCAAGAACTTAGAACCCCATTTTTCTCTTCCCCTACTAATAATGACCTAGAATTTGCAAGATCTCCAGACAGTATCAGCACTTTACAAATAGCTGTTAAGTTATATATTACTTTTGTACTCCAACATTTAATGCAGAAATAGTTCTACTGCCATTCCTCATGCTAAAGAGGAACTTTTTATAGAACAGTTTATCTGAAGATTATAGCACATTTCTATATATAATAGCATTACTTTTACAGATGTTTCTGATCAATTTAAATATAAAACTATGGAATGAACATTTACTAGACTTTTTTAATAGACAAGAAATACAAGTTTGCCTTTCAGAACAATCTCCTTGTTCACACAGGCACAGAAATGTGAAATTGTAGTATATGATCAGCCTCCTGTACCCAGCATGGGATGTTCTTTATCCCTAAAAGAACAGGAAACCAAAAACTCTGCACAATTTATATGCATTTTCGTAACAAAAAAAGTTAGCAGTTTTGATTGAAGTCACTATCTGAATGGGTTTTGGTGGGTTTCTTTTTTGGTTTGGGATTTTGGGTTAACAGATGTTTTCTTAAAAGTTACTTTGCAATGTATATTTCATGCATGGCACACACTTCACTTTTACTATTATCAAACATATTTTGCTGTGCAGCAGTAATTCCTGTGAAAAATGTTTTTAACTCCATTTACTAAAAAAAAACCAAAACAAAACAAAAAACCCACACACAAAAAAACCCCACCAAACTAATCACAGCTTTCTTTCAGATGTACCATTTACCTAAATCAACCTTGCATGCTGGTGCAAAAGATGCAAAGGAGCATTCAGAAACAACCATGAACACTACCTGAATCGTAGATTATTCTCTTTTTCTTTTTTGGCCGCTTTTGTTTGGAATCATCCTCTTCAAAGGGTGAATTATTCACCTAAGAGTAACAGTCCATCAGTTCAACTAGTAAACAGGTCCTTCCAGCTTTTACTCAGTTACACATTCAAATTTATGAGTTTCAAACAAGTTCTAAGAGAAATTATTTATTTGCCAATATTCCACTTATGAACAGTCTTGCTTAGCCCATGGGCGGGAGAGGGAAAGGTGCAGGGCAGAGCAAATAAGAAACTGCAGCAGTGAAACTAAACATGCTCCAAGCAAATAGATGATTATGTTGAAAATAAATATCAAAGTTTAATACAAATTAAAGGAAATAGATTTTCAAGCACTTCCAACTTTTTATTTGTAAAAAGATAATGCACAGTCCCACCAGAAATAGAGATCATACAGATCAACAAGCTGCTTGTATGGAATTCAGCTTTCACTTTTGGTTCTATTCTGTTTATGGTTTTGCTGTAACCACCAACATTCAACATAATTTTGGAGTAGAATACAGCCCATTGAAAAACAAAAAAAGCACCCACCACAGTTAATGCTAGCCTGATTTCTTATTCGGCATCCTGTTTGCCTGCACCTTGTCAGCTCACCCATTAAGCACTGCAGCTACCAAGAGATTACAAACTACCAAGAGATTGCACCAGTGGTCAGAGTTGACAAACAGGCTCTATCTAGCATCAACTACTACTAAACTGTCTCAAGGAAACTTTTTTTTTTCTTTTTTAAAGAAACAGATTTACAAGTTTTGGATATTAAAAATAAAAATAAAAATCACAAGCTGCACAGATAGGAAGTTCCTTGGGGCTACCAAACTGCTTGTTTTGTAGTCATGCACAGCTGTAAATGCTTCTAAAAATATAATTCTAGATAAGCATAACCACACATTTTATAATCTACACTCAATTCTGAAACCTTTGATATAACTGCAGAATTGCAAAGTAGAAATAAAAGATCACATGACATAACTGCTGTGTCTTTCAGCTGCACTGAATGGTCCTTTATTTTCACATTGAAACAAGTGAAATTACACAGCCAATTTTTAAGTAAAATCTTACTTCATGACTGTGACGCTTCACATTAAATCTCCATCCCACAGAAATCCTTCCATTCTGCAGGTGATTTTAAAGTCCTTTTTTCCACCCCTTTCTTTTTTATACAGTTTAGATAATTGTGTGAGGCAGTGACATCTCAAGCTAGCCCATGTCACCCAACGCTCTGTCCAGCCTGGCCTTGAACACTGCCACGGATGGAGCATTTACCACTTCTTTAGGCATTCATTCTGGTGCCTCACCATTCTCATAGTAAAGAGCTTCTTCCTTATATCTAACCTGAACTTGCCCTGTTTAAGTTTAAACCCACTACCCTTTGTCCTGTTGCTACAGTCCCTGATGAAGAATCCCTCTCTGGCATCCCTGTAGGCCCCCTTCAGGTACTGAACGGCTGCTATGAGGTCTTTCCGATACACCTACATCTTCTATGCATAAGCCTCAACCTTAATTAAAAATTAGATAAGCTGAGCTACTCAGAGAACTTTCGACTACAGCTAAAACAACTTCAAATAGATCAGATTATTCCTACTTTAGCACCTAAGCCTAAGAATTTTTACCTACCTCTCCCATGCCCTACAACCCAAATGTTTTTTTTAAATTAGCAATTTTCTTCACCACCTACAGTTTTGCTGCAAGAAGTTAATATTAAGTGGTAGCTTCCTCCCATGCCTATGAGAACAACTGACATACAGCACTTTTTTCAGTATGTAAGAACTATGACTTTAAAAATGCTGGATACACAAACAATCCTATATCCAAGAAACCGAGCACTTCACAGGTAAGAAAAGCAAAACTAACCTTGGTCTCCTTTTCCCTTTTCTTCCCCCATGAGGGTCCTTCACCATTTTTAATGTTTGCACTCTTTTTCACTGTCTCACATTCCTGTCGCCTTCCAGGAGTTACAACATCGAAGAATTTCCGGATATCCTAGGTAAAGGGAAAATTCATTTATAAATGTTTTAAATACGGACAGCTCTCAGAAGTTTCATACTACAGAACAGCAAAGCACTTCAGTTACTTTGTCAGCAACTCCATTAATATTTGATGATCTTGAAATTTTGTTCCCAATTAAGCAAACAAAGCCCAGCTAGTTAAACATAGCTGCTCAGACACCAACTATTTTTCTCTTGTCTTTGAATCATGCAAAAAAGAGTTAATTTCTCCCTTAGCTGGACATCTTCACCGATACACGCTTCCACTAGCAGTGGAAACAAACTTCCACTAGCAGTGAAATAGTGACATATGACAAGATACAGTTAGAATTCTTTTTTTCATAACTAATCACCACCAGCCTAGCCCAAAGCATTTCTATAGTCAACACCATCAACTCAGGAATGAGGTAGTGTCCAATTGAGAGATACAGAAAAGTATCAAGAGCTAGGAACAGCCAAGCAGTGGGACATACCACATCCTCCACCTTCTCACAAGTTTAGGACAATAACTGAGTAAACTCAATTTCAATCATTAAAAACCATAGCCAGCAAGAAACAGATTAAAATCTGAACAAAGAACTTCATACAAAGAGCTCAAAAAAGCCTATTTGTAACCTTATTTCATTATCTGACCACAGTATAACCACAAGAAACTTCTTTTAAGCTATACAGATCAGCAGCTGAAGCTTCAATTTTAAAAAAGTACTATACACACAAAGCCAAATCAGACTTCCATTGAAAATACTAATATTTCAGCTTTATTAAAACTAAAACTGAGAAAAGGCATACCTGGTTGTTATCACTAACTTCAGGGATAGCAGCCATTTTAGAGGAAGAAAATGCATCCTATGGCCTAAATATATAGCAGGTAAAGGATGTGGATTAGGACTATATTCTATCCAGCTGATAGCTATTTGCCATCATTGAGTTCATCTGGGTAGTCTGTTTATTCTTACAGGGAACTACAAGCAAAGCAGTAAACTCTTAAGAAAACTCCATAAAAGTCTGACCAGGCATGTTTCAGGCTGCTTTTCAAGATCTCCCTGGTGGTTTGGATTATCAGAGCCTATAGGGCTTAAAAACAATGCAATACATAATTTGAAAGCATACACAAAATACAGGACATGTAAAGGTTTATTTAGTGTATTTAGCTTAAAACAATTTTGCAGAACCAAAAACGTTGTTTCCTGTAAAAATTTAGACTCCTTGTGGTTTACCTGCACATAATAATATGGATTCAGCAAAAAACACAATGGTAGACTGGGAAGCATTCTTTCTCAATGAGACTTCATACATTTCCATCCATGGAATTTATACCTTGAGGTATAAATTTTCAACACTCTGCTATTTTACATGTACTCCTACAATATAAATGCAGTACTATATAAGCTCTGAAGTTTTGACTGCTAATACCTATAGCTAACAGGTCTATACCTACAGTTAAAAAGTCTAAATATAGATTTGTGGACTCGATAACTCAATCATTATTACTGACTTCTTTTTAGGCTTAAGGTAACATAGGCAACATAAAAATTTATTCAAAGTCTTATTAGATCTTTTATGTAGTAAAATAGTTTAAATACTTACTCCAACACTGCAAAATAAAGTTACTTTTAAGTCTTCATTTCTTTTATAGTTTGTACTTTTTGGCTTAAAATATTTGGAGACTAAATTTTAGATCAATAGTAATACTATTCATTTTAGTATTTTAACTAAAAACAGCTAGTAAGTGAGCTGCTCTGCAAACACTATGTGCAATAATATTAAATTACTTTTTTAATAGACTTACACAAGAAAATACCATCATATCCTGGTTTCTAAAATGCAGACTTAAGAAAGAAAAATATATTAAATAGACCTGCCTGCCCCAGCTTCTTCCACTATTTTCATACCACAGCTCCTGAACTGCTAAGGCCTAAATTATAACATGTAAATTATTTTCTTCTTCATCAGTTCTCATAAGTGATCAAGTTAGCTCTTCGTAAGTACCTTTAATTCACAAAATGCCACAGAGCAACAATAAAGTTATCTTTCAGTAAAGCTTTTATCCAAGAATCATGAGAAACAGAATTTTCATGCCCTTTACTAAGAGATGCCAGATAAATCCTTAGTTCATTGCAGAATTTATTTATAAACTACTACATAGGCTTAGATCTCAGAGAGGATCACTTGTGTCCATTCTGGGTTTATCTATTTAACATACTTTGACTGATCATCTTATTGGTATATAATGCTATACATATACAAGTTCACCAGGTGGAAAAACTGTGTATGCTTAGCTTTCAACCATTCCAATAAGGTGTGTGCCAATGCAACTAACAAGTTTCCTTCTAGAACTTTCCCCCAAAACCTACAAAAGTCATCAGTCTTGTGTATCCTGGAAATACACTAACCAGCATAGCTATCCCAGCTGGTCCCCTTGCCCAGAAGGCTAAAATTAGAGGCAAGGCTCTATTACTGTGGTCTCACCCATGGGTGCTTCAGCAGCAGCACCACTAGGACATGTAACTTTGAGCAGTTCTACCCAAGGAAGAGGTGGAACTAAGTAAGAATTTCTGACCATTCTCACTAAATTAGGGAGGTAATTGATGCATAGCATCTGAACAGCCTAAAAGCTGTGTTCAGGTGTACATGCACAGGCTAAAATGCTGTGCCCTGGTTCCTGCTGAACTATCTTAGTAATTGTATGATCCCAGCAGTGGCTGTGCTGTCCAGTTCTTGCCAGTTTTGACTACCGCTTTAAATCCTCCACCTTACGCAATAATAGGAGACCACAGCAATTCATCATGCCAAGTTGCAGGTTTACCCTTGAAAGACTTGTGTCTGTCTTACTGAAAATAACATGGATAGAAACTGAAACTCCGTTGTCAGGTAGCACAAAGACTGATTATTCAAAGAGTTTATCAGGGTGACTTTTAAGACCTTAGTAAATACCCAGCTCAAAAAAGTCAGTTATAAAAGCCATAAATATTCCATGCTGGGTTTTTTCCTGCATTTCAAAAGGCCCCTACACCAATAATCAACTACTTTGATGTTAGAACCACCTCAACCTAACAGTAATAGGCAGTGTTTCAGAAGGGTGGTGTTCAGTAAGGTAGAATACTTTCCAAAATAACATCATATAATTCAGTTTGCATGTCAAAATACAATGTGAGATAGAAACTTGAATTTCACCCATCTAGCTCAGTGACTGCAACAGAAAATAATGCAACTTATTTAGGTATTCTTAAGTGTGTCCACGAGAGCCTTGCATTAAAAGAACAGTATTTATTTACAGATGCTTATCTGAGTGTAAGTTTTGTGCAAACATCAGCTCTGTCATGTGGTGTGTCCAGAAAACCTGCACTAACTGAAATCAAATTTATAGTTTCACTTCAGTAACACTTGCTTGGATAACTACACTTAACATTCACTAATGGTGGTTCTGCAGCACAGGTATTACACAGTATTTTTTGAGCAGTACCACAGTTCTAAGTACACAGCAGCTGATGCTACAGCTCCAGCCATATGAGTGAGTGTCTCCCTCAGCTAAGGGCTACTCAAGTAGCCCCCACTCCTAGTCCTCCATTCCCTCAGTATAGCATTCTGCCTGGGAACTGGGTCAGGTCACTAATCTGGGTAAAGAAATAAATCCCTTCTAACACAGATCAGTTCATTGTGTAACTCCACACACATCAGTTCAGCACAGCTGAGAAGATGCTGCAGAACCAACCCAACCCAGGCTACTTATGTTTGGCACTACATGAAAACCTTACATGGTTACTATCACTGTATTTCTGCTTCTATCTCCGCAGCTGCACCAGTGATGGTTTTACAGGCTTTCCTCTTTAACACTGAAAAGGGAATGGGCTGAAGAAACCCATCCTCTCCACAAAACGATAGTTGTCTTCCTCACTTCTAAGAAAGTGCCAGACATCGTGAGACGTGACATTCAGAACACTACATAGAGGGAGAAATCCTTCTTCCCGGGAAGGTGGGAAAGGAGGAAGCAAGTCTTTCAGTAAGGTCAGTTTTCTAAAAAGGTGATGGCAGGAGAGGCAAACTTGTCCTTGTGCATAAATTTAATGTCATCAGCCACCCCTAACAAACCATGAACACATCACAGCTTAATAGTCTTGTGATTCTTGGAGCTGGCAGACTTCTGTCAATACTGTGAAACACTCAAGAGTTTATTGCCCACCATTGCTGAGCATCAAGTGTAAGATCTAAACAAAGTTAAATACTGTAGAGTCCAAAATCGAACTTCACTGGCTTCGAACAGCATTTGTAATTAAGGCAGTAGACACCTGCACAGAAACTCCACCTCAGTAGAAGAAAACTTGTCTGAGTCAGAAATTAACAGGGGATACCATCTTACGATGGCTGAATAAGTGAACAGTACTGCGGAAAGCACATGAACACGTGTACATTTACAAATTCTTTCATCCTACTGAGGGTTGCATCCTTCATTACTTATTTATAAGTCTTTACTTCTAGACTTTTACATCCGTTTTTCCCCACTTGAACTGCTTTTTGCCAATACTGCACACTGTCCAATTCGGCAGCAGAAACGCCTTCGTGTATGCCGTTACTGAAATTAAAGGAAGAGTTAGAACTTGAGCAGACTGCCTTCAGCGAGAGGTTGGCGTGGCCACCTTTCCCCCCGAGCGCGCCCATAGTCCGCGCCTGATTCACCCCCCGGTTTCGGGAGGGAAACTGTAGGGGCGCAGCCGCTTCCCCCTCGGGACAAGGGCACAAACGGGCGCATTTCCTCGGTCAGGAGGTTGTTTCCTAGCACGCGCAGAGGGCGAGCGCGGCAGGGCGGGAGGGGGGCCTCTCCCGTGCAGCCTCACAACCGCTCGGCCATAGCCACAGCGGCCTGTGACGGCCTGGAACACAGGCTCGGATCAGCACACGCCGAGTCCCGACGGCCCCAACTCCCTCGGGGCTGCAGCCACGCTCCGGGACAGACGCCCATCCGGCCCCGCCGCTGGCGGGACGCTACGGGACGCTGCGCAACGTTCCCTAACGTTCCCTCCCTCTCTCTCTCTCTCTCTCTCTCTCTCCCGCTCGGGAGGAGCCGCGGAGGGGGAGAGAGATGGAGGGGGCCGCGGTGCTCGGCGCCGCGCTCACCATGCTGCTGGCGGCGGTTGATCTCTCTAGCGGGACAGCTCCGGGTCCATACCTCCCACCTTCGCGCCAACTCTCGCAACCCGGCGCGCGGCACTGTCGTCACAGCTGCGACGGGCGGGGCGGGGCGGCCTGCGTTGGTAGTGTCGGGAGCTCCGCGGCGGCCTAGCCCTGCAGCCGGGGCCTCCGCGGCATCATTGCGCGGCCGCCTTCCTGTTTCCGCTCTGCTGCTGCCAGTGCAGGCGTCAACAACCGGTACCCTGCCACTGGGCTGCACCGCTTCTAATCGCGGTGCTGAGTCTGGCAGCTGCTGCGGGTCTGGCCTGCAGGAACGGGAACGGGTCGAGCAGCGCGCGTCAAAATGTAGGGCTGCGGCGCCATAGGGAATCGCTGTGGCCTAGGACACCGCTGACAGAGAAAGGGAGTTGGCAGCCTTAACCGTTACAACAAAGTGAACTGTTCCAGGCTCGTTGAGATACACCGGGGTTTAATGTATTGAGACAAAACGAAGCATCCCAAGTACGTGAACAGCCGTTTCTGGAGGGCTGAAGTGCAGTTTACATCAGGAGAATAGAACAAGTTGGCTAAAGTTTAGAGGCAATTTCAGAATATGTAGCTGCTGTACCACCACAATATTTTTTAACTAAAAACAGTATTTTAGTGCAGTCACTGCAAGTCAGGTATGTGTCAGTGCAGAATACACAATAACTGCCCTGTGATGAATTGCTTGTTGGTCCCTTCATTCTTCTTTCCTGGTTGTGCAGGAAGTGTTAGGATTTAATTCCTCTGGCATATTCTCTGCCTTGATTCCTCTAGGGTATTTTCTCCCATGCATTAAAGCTTAGCAGAGCTCAGAGCCTACATCTGAGGAGTCAAAGAGAAACTAGAAACCTATACTCTGTCTTCACCCATTATTTAATTTCTAATAAATGTCTAATGAAATCTTATATGTTTTCTTCCATTTTTTCCCTGTGCTTGCTGAACACTGGGAGGAAATAAACGGGGCAAACCCAATAAAACCCATTTCCCTCTCAGTAATCACTCATCTGATGTTTAGATTCTGCCAACTGAATTGCTAATTATTGTGAGTCTTGGAAAAGAATGGGGAGGCCAAACAGAATTTGTGACGTTAAAACTACTCGTGAAAAAGGTGAAGATTTGTGCTTGTCTCAAAGTGCAGTTTCTAGTATTGTCATTTGTATATCTTCTGTATCCACTTCATTTTCTTTCCTTTTTCTGTTTTTTGCCTCCAAGAACAAGTGACTGTCTACTTGGTGGTCTGGTCAAACTCCAGCGAAACAGAGATATGAAAGTCAGATCTTGTTCTATCTGAGAAAACATGAATGCAAATGATAACCTATTACCATTCCTGTTTAATTCTTTAAGTTGGACTTTGTAAGATCCTGTTTGTATAAAAATTGATCATTTATGAACACACGTGGTCAGGCATCTCTTACATTTTCAACATTAGCATAGCTTGTGAGTTTGGACTTCTGCATAAGACAGACATGACAGAGCGAGTAAGTAAGCGCAGACCCACAGCACAGGCTGTTTTTTTCAGCCTCTTTTGCAAGTTATTCCATATGCACTCAACTACAATGGGTATGCAAACAAAACTGGGATCACTTTAGAAAAACATTTCCAATGATGTGTTTGTATTTTAGTATTTAATTCTCATCATGTATTTTTTAAAGCTGTGTGTATTCCTGATACCAGAACTAAAGAGTAGTTAAAATGGCTGACATTGGTAAGAGGCAGAATGACTGTTTAAATAATGCTAAAAGAATTATTGCAGGTGGTTATCTGTATTTGTAGTTGATAAATTTGCCTAGAATAACATCCAGCAGAGCACTATCTGCATGTGGGCTTGTGACACATTCATGTTTCTTGGAAGGCAAGAGTTTAACCCTTTATGAAGAGATCAAACTGAAAACCTGGAATGACTATTATTCACTCTTGGGCATGGTCAGGAGACAGAATACCTCTGTTCCTATGTGGATGGCTACGAAACCACTGAAGTGGGAAAAACCTCACTCTGATACAGGGAACAAAACCTGAATACTTGTATTATGATGCCTTTTGTGAGATAAAATGAAGGCAGTAACCTTTCTGAGTCTATAAGTGAACATGGGTCATGTTTCAAAGGCATATTACAAGACTAAAAGTACAGCTTTTTAAAAAGTAGCTATAAAGTACACTCAACATCATCACTCTATTTACAACTAAGATAAGTAATTTAAAAAATTAGACTTGTTTTGTACCTTTCTGAAAATTGCAGATTATTTGACTTTTTATGGTGGCAGGTTTTTTTCCAGAATACATGAAAAAGTTGAAATACTAATTCTTGAGCTTGAGGGTTTTTCCTCTGTTGAACAAAACCAGGCCCAGTTGTTATTATTAGTGAAGTCTTTCTTATTAACAGGAGGTTGCTATTAGAAAAATACATTTTCTTATATTTACAAAGTTTTTAAAAAGTATTTCTGTTATTTTCTTGATTATTTAATTTTTTTCCGTATTGATATGTTGATTCAATTTTGAAATTTAAAACAACTTTTACTGCAACTTTTGAAGCAATGTATTATTTACTGCTCTACAAAATCTGTACTTAGAATTGTTTGAAACTCAATAGAAATATGAGGCAGATACTTGTAACTTAACGCTGAGATACTTTTGAAGTCCATAAGGCTTTGTGTCTTACATGTTTTAGGGGACAACACGCCATTGATCATTTAAGAAATCTTTATAACAGAACAGAGATGTTCTGAGCTTTGTATGTGTCCAGAGGACCTCTGAGGTTAGGAATTGCCCTGGAGGAATACTGTATGGTAATGCTAAAATGATTAGGAAAACACAACAAAACTACATTTCCTGAAATCAAAATTTCAGGTTGAATTTTGTATTTTTTCATAGCATTAATAGGCATTAAAGTAGTCATTTACTAGATGGTAGGCTCTGTTTTGGAGGCCTCCTATAGAGATACTTTGCTTACTAGAGTCTCTAGTAAAGAACGCCAAATTTCTCTCACTTTGTAGAAACAGTAATTAGCATTTTGTTGCAGACCAAAAATTCCAAAAATTCTTTGTAAATCTGTGGTCTAGTTTCTATTTACATTAGGCTTTCTATAGAATCCATCACAATTATGCGTCTTTAGAAAAGACCTGAGCCCGTCTCAAACAGTTTTTGCTGTATAAGGCAAAGGTATAGGGCAAAAACAAGTGTTTGATTTGCATCACAGTGTTGAGGGCCATTACATAAGTTGTGCTTTTTTTAGCCCCTAGCAGCTGATGCTAATGTAAACATTACACTTTTGTAAGTGAACTTTGTCTTTAGGTCTTTTCTCTCTCTTCATTTACATACCGAGGCAGAATGAATGTGGCTTGACTTGTCTGCTTGGCCTGACATTGCATCCATTCAAAACTCCTGTTGACTAATGTGTTCAGCATTTCTGCAGGTCAAACCCCAGGCTTTCAGGCTGAGCCCCTAAACCAAGGAGAATACATATTCAGTGCTAAGTGAAGAGTTGTGTTTAAAATTTGAATCACTTGCCTTGGCAGAGACAAAGAAAGGAAATTTGATAGCTGAGAATCAAACTGAATAGTCACTAGACTTCCCAACTGCAGTAGCAGTAATGGCGATTGCCTAGAGGCCTCAGCCTCTCCCACCTTTGAGGCATTCTGAAACCAGATTCATTAAGTGCATGGCCAGAGACAGGAAATCCCACTGTGCAGCACTGTACTGACAACCACATACAGCATTATATGGAGCCTTTACTGACTGCCTTTTTGAGCTATTGGAATAATTAATTCCTTCCTCTTCCCCTCTCTCTGCACGCTCACTTCTCAACAGTCCTTGGTCACATCTCCCTCATCTATGCTAATTGTTTTCCAAATTAGGAATCACAGTCTTTCCCCAACTCAGCTAGCTAATCAAAACCTTCTGAATTCAAGTCACTACATGACTCCCATCAGTTAAATTGCTTCCTCTTTAACTTTATCAAGTAACATTATAGCCCAAACACTTAAGTATGACAAGGCAGTAAGAAACTGGATTCAGAGGCCTGAAAAACTGAAACATTTTTGAACCTTGATTATAGCATGCTTCCACTCATATAAATAATAAGGAAAGAAATACAGGTCATAACATTGTCCATATCAAGTGTCTGGGAGCACAAGTCACTGCTGCACCTTTCACATCTCATGCAGATGCAATTCATTGTCTGCAGTAAGATGCCAGTGGTACTAACTCTGCCATAGTTAGTGGGGAGAAGCCTGTTCACGTTACCTTTCCAAGGCATTGCATGGTATTACAGAGCTGTCATGAGCATTTTGAATATAAGCGTCTGATAATCGTGATAACTAACTGCTTTAGAAGTACAGGGACATCCATAGTGACTTGTGTTTGAGTTTTCTTTCATAAAGTACCATACATACAATCAAAGTTTTTAAGTGTTAAAATAGAAATATTATCTTCATGCAATAACTATCCAAATTAGCATTTCAAATGCTATTCCACAGAATAGAAAAGGAGCATGTCAGTATATACAGCAGAACGACTTGGTACAGTCCCTATCTACTCCTCTCTTTCCCAAGCTGCCTTTGGTGGGATCTTGGCTGAGATGTGTGGACCAGTTACTTCAGGTAGTTGAGGGAATGCTGTGTTTGTTATATGAGAGAGACTCAGGTTAGATGCACAGCTACCTCACCAGCAGGAATCTTGCAGTGCAGAAGATATCAATGGGAGCATTCCTCTATGATTAAACTGTTTCTTGTTGCTGCAGAGAAATGGTTATGCACATGCATTGTTGTTTTGTTGTTTATTATAAAAACAAATAAAATGTCTCCTGTCTTCAACTGATTAATCAGCTTTGTTGTTAAACTAAAGTATGTCTCAGTTACATTATGCAATGCTGCAGGCATACTCTCACAGGTAGAAAGAGCAGTAGAGTGGCAGTAGCCCAGCAGTCCATCTGGACTTCCATGTCTTACATGCCAGCAGGGCTAATTCATCTAAGCAGAGGGTTATACTTAGGTAAGTTGTTCCCATGTTCAGATTTCAGATTTACATGCATATCTTTCTTGAACACAAAGTTACTTCACATCACTGTCTTGTTCCACAGATCGCATCAGCAACTGTGGTCTACCTGTGG